CAACTATTCAAGGACTTACAAAAAGTAGTAGCAAGTGGCTCACATATACAATACTTAACCTCTTTCAAAACCTTTGGATAAATATTACTTGGTTTCAGAAGCTGTATCATTATTTAAACTTCCTATTTCTTTTTAACAAACTCATAATTATTGTGTTTTACATCTTGTTTTCATCTAATGACTGTTTAGAATGAGGAATATTACTTAAATCTTCATTAGTATTTAAATTATATACCTATTACCTTTGCAAATTTTCGTAAAAACAAACAATATAAACTACTTCACAAAAGTAGCTGTCAGCCTGGTAATATTGAGGATTATAACTGTTCAGAACAGACTATAAGTAGTTTTTTTAGCCAAATGAACTTCTCATAACCTTTTGAAATATGTTCTAAACTTAATCAAGATAATTCATCACTTTTGTATACAAAGTTTAAGAAATTTTATACTTGAAAAATTGACGTAACAAAATATTTCTGTTCACCATTTGAAAATCAAATGCATATTTTTGGTGAAACTTAAAAATTGTTCTTGTTATATAAACTGTTACATTGAGGCAGAAGACAAAGGATTTACAAATGTTCTACACACACTTTTAAGTTATGAAATTTGAATAAGTCTGTATAATGTGTTTACACTGCATTGCTTCAAACTGCAACTGAAAAAGTGTGTTAATGGGGATGTTAATTTTAGCAATGTTATGTACATCGATTTGAATACCATTTTTCTACAGTTTGTTTCTGATGATAAATAACACTTTAAAACTATTTCACCTGTAACACACAAAAAAAAAAGAAATTTCAGTCATTCTCAATATCTTTAAATGTTCCAAAATAATCTCAGTGACAAAGTTCAGAGAGGAAATGAGAATAATAACCTAATAATAAATTCTCAACTTTTCCAATCATTTCTACCACAAAAACATTTCGCTACCTCCATCTTTGGTCTAACTTTGATAATAATTTTACAACATAAAAGTTTCTCCAGTGTTGTTTATTCTATTAACTAACACAATTGTTGTCCAAGATATTGCTTATAATCCTCACTAAATTAATCAAAATTCTTAATAACATTAAATATGTTCAGAATTTTATATGATAGTTATAAATGTTCTCAGCTACAACATTATTATTTTGACTTGTATTTTAAAGAAGCTAGGTTATAATATTAATAGCTTGCCACTTATTAGAAATTATATGCCCCTGGTGGCTAAGCAGTAAACTTCTGACCTTATACTACAAAAATTATGGGTTTTATCCTTGTACTAGTTTTAGTTAGCACAACAGTGAAAGCCTATTAGTATTATGCAGCTTTGTGCAAAATGTTAAGAAGCAAATAACAGAGATGATGAACATGGTATATCTACAAATAAAACAGATTTAGCATACCTGTGGATACTACTATTTCGGTATAAATCGCTGAAGAAATAAACCGCCAAAATAACAACAGTATTATGTTAGAAATAGAAGAAGGGTTTTTACTACAAGTATGACTATAAGATACATCTACTTACCATTTCAGACTTTCTTCCGCTTGATTTCAAACCTCTACTTCGTAGTTCTTGTCTCAAGCTATCTTTAGACATAGAACGATAATCACGATTATTTGCATGAGTGCGATTTCTGGAGTTTGTTTTTGAACCCATAACACTAATGTTAGGCTTTTAAAGATTTAAATATTTATGCTTTAACGTCCGGATTTGTAGCTTGGTCTCTACTGAGTGACAAAGTTCTTAGTCTTACTCTTAGCCTACATTACAAACGTCACGTAAGTAAAAAAAAAACAAATAGGCTAAGCATGTACTAATAGTAATAGTGAGTAATTCTATTTAACAATAACAGCACTTGGTATATTTTATACTTAGACTTTAGTCACGATGGCCTAACTTTTTTGTTGTGCTTCTAGTTGGCAGTGGCAGTTGACTCTTAACTTATAGTTATACTAGTTATAGATGCACATCCAACGATGGTAGTACTACTGTTGAAACAACACCTGAAAAAGAAACTAATCACAAAAGTCTGCTCAGAAACCATTCTATTAAACATAAATCTTTTAGGTACAAAGAAGTTCTCAAATCAGCTTATTGGGAACACCATCTAACTAAAACTAGAATCTTGAGTTAATCCTCAAACTGTTGGTAGCGCGCTGAATTAGACTGCAACAACAACGTACAACAATACATATTGATTATTTTCTTTATGGCGGAAGGCCCGACGTTATAAACACTGAATCTGCGTCAAAACATGGATAATACCCCATTTGGAGGAACAATTAAAAGATCAAAGAATATTTCTTAAAAAACGTATATTTATTTTTTTACATTTTTTAATATATACGTGTATACACAGAATATGTAATATAAACAAAAATCATAGGGGGATATGCAATAGGCGACAATACATTATATCATTACACCGAAAACTAAAACAAAGTATCATAATTACTGATGAGATTTCTAATTATTTTGCTTATTTTCATATTTTTGCAATGTAATGTATACAGTGACGTTTTATTTCAATAAAAAAATATTAATAATATTTAAATACTTCTGTAAGTTTTGTTATTATTTATATCTGTGGTTATTACAGTGTTAACACGCCGTGACATCTATTTTCTATCAAATGAGTTAAGGCGAATATAAAAATATAAACATTGAAGATCCCAAAGCCATAATTATTGCTTTTAAGTGTCAAGTTTCTTTGTTTGTAAATGTCGCGCAAAGCTACTTGAGGACTATCTGCACTAGCCGTCCCTAATTGAGAAGTGATAGACTAAAGGAAACGCAGCTAAACAATACCACCCATCTCCAACTCTTGGGCTACTCTTTACCAACGAATAGTAGGAATAAATAGTGGAATAAAGAAGAAAAAGACACGCTTTCGTAACAATGACTAGGAAGGGCATTTGGGGGGGGGGGGCTCTAGCAAATATCAAATTATTTGATATAATAAATTTAGAAAAATTTTAATTCAATCATGATATATTACCCTGAAAAATAATCGTTTAAAGAATGACAGTAAGTCACATGAAATTATTTTTAAATTAAACTTTTTATATTTTTTACAATTTCAATGAAAATTGAACACTGACAACATTTAATCGATTATTATTTACGGCAGTTGACTGACAAGTGTATTGTTACGTCTCTGGTCGTTTGTTAATTTCCAGTATAAATTCTTCCCGAAGAACTTCAGCAATACAAATCCTTTCTTAAGTAAAACTAGTTTATTGTATCTCTATACAACTTTGCAATACACAGAATTTCCACAGTCACTTTAATGTAAACACACGCTATAATTCACAACGATTCACGCACTTTACTTACGGTCACTACCGCTCACTTGACTCATTTATCTGTCTCTATATCTCTCTCTTCAATCTGCTATCTGCAATTATTACCTCCACTTTATTTGCCGGGCTTATATATTAAAATAGAGGGCGTAACAGAGGGAAAAAAATACGATTTCCAGTGTTTTATTATTCATATCCACAGACGAATCGTATTGATGTTTCAGTTATATGAAAAAAAAATATAGCTCAATATAATAGGGGGCTTCCCACAAGTTAAGTGCCCTAGGACTGCACCACAGCTAAATCTGGCCCTGCCTGGATGAATAGTACCTGAATGACAGAAACTTCGTGAGTAAGCTGTGATGCCAATTCAACCCTGAGGAAAGTTGGGTAATCTATTGAGCCAAGTTTAAAGCCAGAACTCCAATGAAGGACTGGCCACCTGTGTGAACATTCTGTGCTGTTTGTACAGGAAGACCCATCCAGTAACGGCCTCCATATAATGAAAGGACATTCTTATAAGTTAATTGAAGGACTGCTCGATAAACTTCATGAGTGAACAGCTGGGAATGAGGAAAATCCTTATTCTCACTGATGTAGCGTCCATCATGACACATTTTGAAGTTATGATGGCAAACATGTTGTTGGAGAGGAGAAAGCCTGTAGTAGTAGATGCAGTAACAACTCTGCCAACAAAAGGTGCAAAGCATGTGCCCCCACCACAGCAGCGCAAACCCACTAGGAAGGGTGTCAATCAGCGACTTATACAAGAAGGGATTGGCTGTGAGTGAGTAGGACCATGCAGGCCCTCCCACATTCTGCTACAGGGCCCAATAACGGGATACCTTCCACAACCACAGCCGATGCCTCTGTACATCATTCAATGTGGGAAGAGCACAGTGTCTACTCTACTTCACTTGCGAGTTTATGGGATATCGTCCTTGTGGTACCACAAGGGTGGCTTAGTGATCAGACCTCACCAAGTTGCTGGGTACACAAGAGTATCAGTACTGCCCATCAGATCAGTAGTTACAGGATGACCAATAATAAGTGGCAAATGCTGCAATCAGTGCTTTGGAAAACTAATGTAGCCCAAGCTGAGCATTGCCATCAATTTTGGAGAACACGACAGTTGGTCTGCACTAAGGAGTCTAGTGGTCAGCCCAGGTCTGTCAGAACTGAGTGGGATCTAGTACATGCCTATAAGGGTGAGACGTTCAGTTCCTGGTGGACACTGGAGCAGCAAAAATCCTGGTGGACTCGTGATCTACCAAGGCATTCCAGTGAAACTACTGTTATGTCCAGTGAATATGGGTTTCATTCTAGCCAATGGCAGTAGACTAGCCATCAGAGAAGCAGTAAGTCTCCAGATCAGTCTGGGATGTGTCACCTACAGAATAAAAATGGTCATCTATGATTTTATATCTGGAACAGGCATCCTTAGAATGGTCATATTGTGAATGTGTCTGGCATTTTTGCCTGTGCAATGGACGAGCTGAAGTTCTGAGGGAATGTCACCCAGATTGAACCCAGGAATAGAGAACTACATGAGTTTATGTAGTGAAGGAAATGGTAGTATCTCTATGTTCACAAGTGGTATTCTTTGATCTAATCCACACAAGGTCCAGCGAGTTTATAGTGTGTAATGTAGTGATAGAAGCCATGCAAGAGATAAAATTTCTTGTCAAAAATGCGGATGGCACTAGCTTGGATAGTGATCCATCCGACAAAGGATGAAGTTCTGGTCTTGCTTTGCAATTATAGAAATAGGCTATAGAGCTGAATGCTAGAATGGTCTTAGATATGGGAGTTAAACGGAAGTGCCTGATGCTAGCATCCATCACACCACAGTCAAAGACTACCACACCTAATGTTGATGGTTGACGATTGAGCTGATAATCTAGACCCAATGCAGCAAGAGCAACTCAGTGACTTGTTGGATTAATACCTGATATGTTTATGGGACTAGATGGCTGACTGGTTGAACAACTGTAACCTGGCATCACATAAACATGGGTGACACACACTCGATAAAGCAACTACTATGTTGACTTCCTTCGAGCATTAGGGAGGTCACTAGTGCTGAAATACCGAGGGTGCAACAAGAGGGAATCATACAACCTTCGGAGAGTACTTGGTCATCTCCAGTTGTAATTTTCAGAAAGAAAGAAGGTCTACATGGTCCTCCAATGGATAAATCAGGTAACATACATCGATTCCTTCCAGTTACCATGATCAGGTGAATGTTTACATGTGTTGGAGGTCTCGTGCTGATTTAACACCTTAGTGTCTAGATACTGGTGTCTTGTGTCTGGATACTGTCAAGTCAAGATCAATGATGAAAGCAGAGAAAAACTACTTTTAAAATGAGAGATGGTTCATAAGAATCATGCATTATGCCACTTTGTCTGTAAAATGTTACACTCACTTTTTAAAGGCTGCTGGAGCTTGCACTCAAAGGACTGTAGTGGGAGAAATGCCTGGTCTCTATCGACGATATTATGGTGTTTTGTTGCACTTTTGAAGCAGTGTCTGAGAACCTATGGATGGTATTCAATGCTTAAGAAAGCCTAGAAATGTTCACTCTTGTGAACGGAAATGGAGTTTCCTTGAATTTTCTTTATATTGTCGAAAATTGTTGGCCAATTTGTCAATGATAGCAACATCAATGTCCACTCTCATGAAAGTCGAAGTGCACTTTGATTGGAGTGCGGAGTGTGACAAAGCATTCCAATCCATAAATCTTATTTTAGGGGATGTTCCATTGTTTGACTATCCACATCAAGACTGTGAGTTTCTCCTGGACATTGGCACCAGCAACATAAAAGTCCGAGTAGTGCTATTACAGGTGCAAGACAGAATGAATATGTGATCTTGTGTGCTATTTGCACACTTACAAATCCTGAACACAGGTGTTGCACAATGAAGAAAGAACTACTTGCTGTGACTGACTTTGTAAAGCTCTTCTGCCACTACTTGTATAGTAGAAGGTTCACCATGCAGGTGGACCATGATTAACTGAAGTGATTAATATATTTTAAAAAATCCAAAGGGTTTCATAGCACATTGGATAACAATGTTGCAAGAATATGACTTAGTCATAGTTCATTACACAGGCCTGCAAAACGGAAACGTGGATGGACTATCTGATCTCATAGTGAGACCTTGCTCATTAGTGGAATGCCCTGATCCTGGACACTATGTGTGAATCAAAATTACCATTGTATCAGCCACAACTACTACTTGTCATAAAGTAGATGATTCCACTAAAGGATGACTGCCAAAGTTAACCCTTCGGAGGTCCAGGACGAACAAGGGCACTCCTTAAAATCCTGCATGGACCTGTCCATTAGTAGTGGAGGAACATAACGTGGAAGGTCACAGTAGAAGGTGATATTGTAGTATTGGTTATAGATGAAAGGTCACAGTAGAAGGTGATATTGT